TCATTACAGAGACATATCCTCCAAGCAGCACCAATTCCTCTATGAGATTAGGTGGATCCAGGAAGACCACTGAGCCCCAGATCTCAGTAGGCCTGGAATATTTTGGCATTAAATGGGACTCCATTCTGTTGTAATGATGATGAGGCTTCATGGACTTCCTTTGAAACATGAATCTTAATTTCCTTTAAAAAGCCCCGCAAATATCTAGCTCTGGCTTACTTCAGGCAATGAAAAAATCTTTTACACCAGAAGAAGCCTGCTGTTTTTGCAAACTGTTTTTTAAATATATATTCCCTAGAGCTAAACTATCAAACTAGCCACTAGCTACATATTGGCTATTTAAATTGAAATTAATTAAAGCTAAATAAAATTTGGTTTTTTTGAAGATTTTATTTCTTTATTTTAGAGAGAGAGAGTGAGCACCAGCAGGGAGAGGGGCAGTGAGGAAGAGGGAGAGAGAATCTGAAGCAGACTCCGCACTGAGCGCAGAGCCTGACCCGGGACTTGATCCCACAACTGCAGGAACATGACCTGAGCCAGAACTAAGAATCAGACACGTGACCAACTGAGCCATCCAGACGCCCCAAAACAAAATAAAACTTAAAGTTCATCAGTCACACCAGCCGTATTTGAAGTGCTCAGTAGCCACATGGAACCACAGGCTACCATACTGGATATTACAGACATAGAACTTTCCATCTCACAGAAAGTTCTATGCGGCAGTGCTGCTCTTGGGAGAAATCATTTATTACATCACATTTTCTGGTTCCCATCTCAGCTCCTCCACCACCCCCACTTTGTTCTTCATTTGCCTGAGTTTTTCCCGTCTCTCTCTGCCAGGAGGTAGGAAAGCAGCTGTTTACTCTTGGCTAACGGTGATAGAAAGCTCAACTCCTAGATACCACAGAGGGAATTAGTCTTCATTAGCATGTGTCTTCCTTGTTAGATCACTCACTGGGGAAAGGTACATACATTTGAATGCCTGGAATCACTAGGTGCCTTAATGGTACCCACTTTGGTGCAGTTACAAATCACTTAAGTTAATCCATTTCTCCTGAGCTTTCTAAATGGATAATTGAATTCTTTCTTCTGCAGTATCGGCCTGAGTTCTGAGTTGAGGTGTAGATGCCTTGCACCCTCCCTGGCCCCACTTCTTTCCACTCCCAAACTAGAATGATTGTATATTCTTGCTCTGCTCTGAGCTTTGGAAGAACGAGGTCTATGTATTATTCATCTTTGTATCTCCAGCGCCTAGCCAGAGTTTGGCATGTGAAAAGCACTCAGTGAATGTTTGTTGAAGAAATTAAGTAATCAATTATGTAATCAATCAAGATGTGTTCAGTTTTCCCAGTAGGACTTTCACTAATTATTCCTACAGAGCATTCATTCCCCAGCACAGTGATTCTGAAGTCTGGCTGCACACTGGAATCACCTGGGCATCTCTTAGAATCTGCTGGTGCCAGGACCCCACCCCAAACCCAGACAATCCAAATCTCTGGTAGTGGGGCCTAGGCATCAGTAGTTCGGTGAAGGCTCCCGCCCCCCAAAGAATTGCATTGTGCAACCAGGGGTGAGAATCACTGCGGGGTTCTGATTTGGCAGCCATAAATATTTTTTCATCATTTTTGACGTGTTCCCCCATGGCCCATCTCACCCACTGTCACATTCGCTGTAAGATTAACAGGAGTCGGACCTTAATAGTTAATTTGCTCAGTCATGGGACAACAGTGTTCCCTCTGCTCCAAACAGAGACTCTGGAAAGATAGACTCCCTGCGGAAGCTTTCTTTCAATGTCTTCATGAAGATTCAGGCTAGAACTGTCTTGAAACAACACAAGAGAATCTCTTCTGTTAAACCCTCACTGGAGGTGTACATTATGAGTAAATTTGATGTCATATTGAGTCTTGAGAAGCAGAATGCATGCCATCATAATAAATGTGAGAAACATATCTATAAGGGGAAAAAGAAGACTTGAAGATGAGTGAACAAAAACTCTAGTAGTAATTATAGGTAAAGCAAGCTGGGGATGGGGAGGGCCTTAGGGAATAGATTCCAGGTACTGACCACGAGACTCAACAGGGAGGAAGTGCCCTCGTGGCATGGTCTCCCCACTGGCTGGATGAAATGCACGGGTGTCCCTGAAGCTTGCCCCAGACAGGAGGACGGGGGTCCAAAGAATGACTGAGCCAGGATTAAAACAGGAAGGTCACCACCAGCACCGGGTATAAGAGGTGTGGCCAGGAGAATGATCGGGCAAGACTGGCCAGAAGGGAGATGTGAGGGAGAAGACAGGGTCAAGGATGGACTGAGGGGTTCTGGACTAAGGCCAGGAAGTGTGGGGGCAACCTTTTACATGGGGTCTGGTCTATCCTCTCAAGCAGGGGTAGCTTCTAAAGAGGGGCCTCCCATAAATTTTTTTTCTTTCTCTTTCTTTTTCCAAATACCATCTAATAGTAGTTTTCTAACATTAAAAAAATGTGTGCCTCTGTATTCCAAAAGTGTACCAAATGAGACAGGATGAGACGATACTAGGGACCACTGCTATTTATTGAGCATCTACTGTGTGCCAAGCACCAAACAAGACCACACACACACCCCTCAATTAATCCTCTCAATAAACCTGAGACAACATTATCACCAGCACTTTAAAGATGAGAAAACAGGCTGACTAGCTTGTTGTCCAGGATCCCACAGACCATATGTGGCACAGTCAGGGTTCAGTCCACATCCGTGTGATTTCAGAGAGATGACTTTGCTCACACGCCCAGACCACATTTCATCCGAGTGGATGGAAAAGGCCTCCTCCCACCACAGCTCCACTCCTCACTAAAGGCCACCCCTTCTCTCACCAGTGAAGTGACGGACTCATACCAGCGCTGGTTATCCTCACACATTTTCATTATATGGTGGGGGTTTTATGAGACTCTACCACAGGCTGTTTTTCAAATTTATTTAATTCATCCATCATGCTCTGAAGCCATTTGCTTTTTTATATTGGACAGATGTAATGAGATTTTGGACACTAAAAAATGTTTTTATTAAAAGTTATGACCCAGAGCTAGTTGGTAGGGGCTGTGCCATAAATCCCCAGAAGTGTGGGAATTTATAAAGGATAGTAGCGACATAACCTTAACCTTTTAGGCCACACCATAGATTACAGGATCACTTAGGCTAATATTGCCTCCCCCCTCTCCCTTCCTCTGGCCAAATGGAATCATAATAATAATTTATGTGGTTAGCTGATGTGGTTGCTCTTCCTCTCCTCTTTGCCACAGTTGACTTCTGGCAAGCCATGGCCTGGTGGAAGCAGGTGGTTGAGAACAGACTTGGTGGTGGTGGGCCTGGAGGCCCTGCTGTGGTGGGCGTGGGCACGTTGGTTCTCCTGCTCTGCTCTGCAGCCCCGTTACGAGGGCTGACCGACCTCGCACGGTCACCTTTTCTCCAGACTGGGTGGAAGTGGTTATGGGGGATGGTTTCTCCAGTTCTTCATTGCCAACAGGAAGCTCTCCTCAAAAGCAGGGAATGATGCCACTATTTCTGTTCATGCATAGTAATTCCATTTTAATGTCAATATTGTTAGATTCATAATAACGTTGCACTACTTGGAAATCATCCAAAAAATAATCAGCTTGGGCATATTGACCAAAACATGATGACTAAAAAACATATATATAATAGATATTATATATATTATCGGTAATATATATTGTCAATGTGACTTTGGTAATTAGCATTTGTTAAGCAGAGTGCCAGGGTGTCAGATGGTGAGCACAATACAGCAGAAGACTGAAAGGGAATTGCAGTAGAGAAGTTTATTACTCACAGGTCCTGGAGGAGGTACAGAGCACACCTCAAGAGGTCACATGGGGAAAGTCAAGGCAGGCTGCAGGCAGAGAAAGTATGGCAGGCCCTAAGGTGCATGCCTTTATTAGGGACCACAGTGAAGTGCTTTGGGTCCCCTGGACTAAGGCCAGATTGGTCAATTCAAACCAAAAAGAACAGGGTTTTGGTAAGCTCCACAGGGGTTTCATCTAAGGGGCACATAGGGGAAGGCGGGAGAGACTGCTAATCACAAGACCATTGGGGCACTGGGGGAGTCATATTAGGGGTTTATAATTACTTGTGACTCTGCAAGCTGTTTTTCTAGGGCTTGTTCATGGAAGGGGCTGGTGTCCATTCAAGGCCCCCGAAGTTAGCCCAGCCACACAAATGGATGCCAATGCAGAAATACAGAGTCGTTTAGCAAAATTCTCAACAATTATGAACAATAAAGTACAAAATTAACAAAACAGATTTGGTCAACTGCCAGCTACTTTTAAAACATACATTCGTTCATATATTTTTGAGCACTGCTAGGTGCCAAATCCGCTGTGAGCAGCCAGGATTTGGGAATAAATACAGCATGGTCATGCTTCCAGAAGCACAGTGTAATCAGCACAGATGATGTACTATTACTCTGATGATTTTCAGCTCAGAGGATCAAGGGGAGCTTCATGGAAAAGGTGGCCTTCCAGCTGGGTTTGAGGAATTTGGTGCTTTGAGCTTACAGAGATGAGGAGAAGAGCATTTCAAGCAGAGGGGACAATCTGCCTAAGGGCTCTCACAAAGCTAGCTGTTTAGACTGCTCCAAGAGTTAAAAGAGTTTGGCCAAAACACATGATAGTATTTTTTTTTTTCCTTTTAAAACAAAAATCTTGAGTGTAAATAAACATCATGCTCTTATCTGTTGCCACCATTGAGGCGGGCTGGGTAATGTCTGGAATTGCGGGAAGATACTCTGGAAGCCTACAAACTTACCACTGCTGGATTTCCTCCTGATCAGGCCCGTGTTTTATCATCTGCTCCTGCAGGGAACACACTGGCCATAGCTCCTGCCTAGGGAGACCGTGGGAGTGGAAAGCATAGATCCCGTCATCATTAAACTCATAAATCCATGCCATTTGTGTGTCAGACTCTTCATCCTCATTCATCATCCCTTACACTTTCAGAACGGTCACCCGTTTGAGGATTTTGAAGAACGGTTTGCTGCGGCCACCCCGGTAAGAATGAGAGGGCCCTCTCTGGTTAACTGTTTTAGGTCATTATCCCATTGTTCATTTCATGCTCATAAGTCATGCCTTGTGGTTCCAGAACAGAAACCTGCCTGTGGACTTTGATGAGATTTTGGAGGCAACAAAGGTAAGGCCTCCAGGCTCTTGGTAAATGAGGGTCATTCTGGTCATTCTCACTCATGCATTCCATGTTCTCCTCATCCAGCCTGCGTGAACGGCAGGTGGGGGTTCTGCTCTAGTGGGTGCCTAGTCTAACGTTCACGGGCAGATTATCGGTGAGCCCTGTGATGAGGTCAGAGAGTATGTGTGTATGAGTGTGTGTGTGTGTGTGTGTGTGTGTGTGTGTATGTATAGGAGCGGAGCTGACCTGGTGTCATTCAACAAATATTTTTCAAGCTCCCAGCATGTCCCGGGCATTCTGATAGATGCTAGAGATTCAGTAGAGCGGGAGGACACAGACGCTGTCCTCAAGGACCTCACGATGCCCCAGTGAACCAGTGCACAGCGTGGGTAAGATGAGGTAGGTTAGTCTGGTGTAGTGTAACATAACAGTACACTGGGGGTTCGGGCGCTTAAGCAGGACGCGCTGAGTGCACGTAAGTGAAGAAGAACCAGGCAAGCAGCGATGCAGTCAGTATACCCTGGACTAGGTATACTGGTTGGCAGCCAGTGCTTATTCAGATTGGTCGATACCCAGGCCAGTGAATAGTATCACCTCTGACGAGAGGGTGTGTGGAACGTCTCTAGGACAGGGGTCCTCAACCTTGGCTGCAAATTAGAATCACCAGGAGAGCTTTGAAAGTCACAGTTACTAGGCTGTACTTCAAACTGGCTCATTCAGAATCTCTAGGAGAGTGGAAAGCAGGCGTCAGTCTTTCCCCTCAGGTGCATCCAAGGTTGAGAACCGCCGATCCAAGTATCATATAAGCTGTTCTGGACAGTGGGGTGGGATGCAAATTGAGTTAGGAAACACTTCCCAGAAAGAAAAAAAAGTCTTCTAATTTCTGTCCTGAAGGATGGGTGGGAGAGGCAATTGGGGAAGGAATAAATACTCTAAGTAGGAGGAGGAACATTTGCAAAGGCCCTGAGGTGGCCCCTCCTGTTGTAACCTGTGTCTCTCTTCTCCATTACACTGCTCTGATTGTGTTGATGGGTCTGATTTTCCATCGAACAGCCAGCCCGTGAGAGTAGGAACGGGAACAGGCTCATATCCCCTGCTCTCGGTACGGCAGCTGATGCACAGTAGGGGCTCCATACTTTTTCTACACGAAAGACTGCCTGATGCCAAAACATAAGGATGGGGCTGTGAGAATGTGTTTGGGGGTCATCCAAGGACATCTCAGCCTTTATCAGTGGCACTTTCAGAATTTCTCTGCAGGAGGGGGCCTCGGGGTCCGCCTGCAGCCGTCTAGTAGAAGGAAAGACCAGGGAACTAATCTTGAAACCTCAGTGGCACAGCGCTCTAAGTATTATTCGAAAACCATCACTTGTTCACATCAAAGAATGCTGTGAAGGGGCTGGCCCGAGGGAGAGATCAAGGACCTTCCTCCTCAACAGCGAAGCTATCCTTCTCCCCTTCACTGGACAGGGCAGCTTCCAGTGTCCTTCTGCTCACCCTGGGAAATGCCCAGGGCCTAAAGAAGGCAGAATCTGCCATCGGCAGCCTCATCGCTACCAGCAGATGTCTGAAGTGCTGGTAATGGAAAGGCCAGTAGGCATCTTGAACTGACCTTCCAGTTGAGTTCTTCAGATGGATGTCCATCATGGCAGACCCTTTAGGAACCCTAGCTTCTGGTTAGAGAATATTGTGGCTACACTCCCCTCATCTAGGAAGGCTAACTAGGGCTTGTGAAGGGATAGATAAACGAGGTGTTGCTTGGCCTGTGGGTCAAGCCCAGCTTCTTTTAGCTCACCGACCATAGGTAAGTGGTGTTATCTCTTGGTCTCCACTCACGGGCAAAGGACAGCTGGAGAGAGAGCTATGCCACCGGTGAGCTTAATGAGCCTCAGACATGACGATAATGTATTGGAAAATGTATTGTAAACTATAAAATGTTTTACAAATGTGAATGGTTACTTTTAATTCTCTTGAGGCCACTAAAATGATGAATTACAACAATATTATCAGATGGAACATGGTTTGTTAGGTTACAAATAAAAGGACTAGGGCTAACATGGGGGGAGAGGGGTGTGAAAATAGATATTATTCCAGATTCTCAATCACATATGGTTATTAGAATTATTTTTAATTTTTGGCCCAAGAATCCCCCTTTTCTATAAAATTTAATTAACTCGAGTTTCTATTTAAACAGCAAATCCAATGGAATGAAATAACAATCTATGTTTTATGCCTCTGCATGTTTTTCTCGTTTAATCCTTGAGTGAAAATCATCTGGCAAGAGGAAAGGCTGTATCTCAAGAATGAAGGTTATTTTAAAAGTTGTGCTTAAGGAGAAAATTAGCCAATAAATTATATTTATTATGTTAGTAAAAGTGTGCCATAAGTTCAACACATTTGAAATGTAAATTGTGTGACTTAATTATTAACTTCATTTTATTATTTTCCTACCACTGAAAATAGTTGTAGGCCATTTTAAAAGCATTGAGTCCCAATTGCAAGGAAGCCTAGAAGCTTCATGTTAATTGATTAAATAGAAGTATTCCTTATATGAATCTGGAAGAGAGAGCATAAGGATTACCATAGTTTTACCAAATAACATAAAATATTGTAAACATGGTAAAGACTCTTTCCCCAAGACAAGCAAGTATCTAGAGTCCAGCCAAGTCTGGTCCCACTGTGACCTTACTTACCCCTGTCCACTTTGCTGGCCTCCTCCCTGCACCCCTCCACCCTCATGCTCATTACAAATTGCTTTTCTTCCCACCTGCTCAGACTCCTCCAGGCCTCTCTCCTTTTTGCTCATGTCCTTGCTTGCACCAGCCTGGATTATCCTTCCTCTTCTTGTTTGCCCGGCTAACTGCTCCTCATCTTCAGAATTCAGATCAGGTCTGTTCCCTTTAGAAAGCCCTCCTTAAGCTTCTTTGCCAAAAGCTGGCCGACTCCCTTTCTCTCTTCTCCCACAGAGACGCTTGTCGCCGTCCCTGCCACATTGCCTTGAAATTACCTACTTCTGCAGATCATCCCACCAGACTGCAAGCTCCCTGCAGGCTGGGACTTGGCATTTCTCATTATTCTGTTCACCGCACTCAGCACCTCACAGGTGTTAAGTGTGTATGGAAAAAGCATCGTGTAGCTGAGAAGGAAATTAATATGTGTGTGGGGCCTTCCTGTGTGCCCAACACCATTATTCAGTCTGAAAGCTTAAGGGGAAGAATGAAAGTTCATTAACCAAGCTAAACTTCTTTCAGCAAAAAGAGCCTTTTGTGCCTTTTTAACCAGGCTTAGACAAAGTTCAAAGAAAGTCCTGTTATTAATATTGTCAATAAATCTGCAAAGGAGGTATTATCATCTCTACTGTCCAGGTGAGGGAACTATAGCTCCAAGGAGTTGCAGAGGTTGGAAGTGAATCTGTCAACAGGTGTGGGACCTTTTCCAGCACCCAGAGCTCGCTCACTCATCAGAAGGAGAGCACAAACCTTTTTTGGCACTAAGTGTAGAGCTCTAGCCATGCCTGGTTAGTGTTAGAATTCAGGTGCAGGGGTCCCTGGAGGGCAGGCAGGCAGACTCTTCTGGTCCTTTCTATTGATTGATGTTTTTAGGTTCCCCCCAATCACAAGCTGTCACTTAAAATCCAGAGATGAGCCGAAAGAGTTTTTTCCTCAGTGGGCAGGTTTCGCACAAAGCATACGATTATATACTTTAAGGCAGGCCATTTGGTTCCTAGCCATAGACTCCCTACGGTCTCTGAAGCTGGAAGTGTATGCAGATTAATTTCTAAGTATAACTTAAAGGGTTTCTTCTGCCGCTCTGGCTGGCCTTGCTCAGACACTCCTGTATGATGGATGGGGATTTGGACGATACAGTGACTGCAGTGATGGAGTTCCTAGCAGTGATTAATAGTGTATATCCTGGGCTGTTTTTGATGCCCTTCCTCGTATAAAATGATCTGTTTTCTTTTCTTCCAACTACATTTTTTATCCTAAAGACTGACTCTTTCAGAGGCTATCATTCGACTGCATGCTCTGTATGCAGGACATTCAAGTCCTGGCCTGGGTGACCTTGAGGTCACCTCTGTGAGATTCAGTTGATTCATCTGTAAAAATAGGGATGATGATTCCTACCTCTCAGGTTCGTGGTCTTGGGAGCATTTACCAAGAAGTGGCCATAAAGTCATGTCTCACTGTATCTGACACATGGAAGGTACTTTGAACGCGTGTGTGCACTCAGAAAAGAAAAGTAGTGAGGGGGGTCGCCTTCTTGCCTTTTTTTCCTGGAGAAGACAGACTGTGCTGCGCTTGATGGCGAGTCAGTGCGAAGTGGGATGACGGGTTATGGGAGGTGGCTAAGCCTGAATCTCCTTAACTAAGCCCAGATACGCTACCAGACACACAGAAGCAAGAATTGATTCTGGCTGCCTCCCAGGTGTTGTCTTTAGGATCATGACGTATGGTAATGACCAGCTGGGCTTATTGTGTATATAGTCACGATGACGAAGAAACAAGGGTCCTCATGTCACACCATTTTAAAGCAGCGCCCAGCAGCATTGGCTTCCCTTTGTGGTGACATCATTCTCTTTTTGTCTTTTCAGGCTGTGACCCAATTAGAACTTTTTGGGGACATGTCCACCCCTCCTGATATAACCTCTCCCCCCGTAAGTATACACTGCAGCTCAGCCCTACGTCCCTCCCTTTTCCTTTTTCGGCGGCATGGTGGCGAGACGATGGGCTTTGGGCCAAAGAGGGCTGCTGGTGGGTCTCACCTCTGCCTCTGGCAAGCTGTGTGATTTGGGCAAATTACTAGCGATTCTAAACCTCAGTTTCCTCTGCTGCTTTTTAAAGGAATTATGATACCTACTTCTGTTTTGAGAAGGAAGTGAAACCATGCATCAGCAATCACAGGATCCCCCCTGCGTACTTGCTATACTGCTGGGCAGTGGAGAAAGACATAAACAGGATGAGGTCCCTGCCTGCAAGGAGCACATGGTCTAGTTGGGAATATTGGCAAGAAACTCAATAGGACTACAGATGATGGGGCATTTGTCAACACCTACCCAGAGCCCACCCAGCCAGGTGTTCAGCCCAGGAAAGGAAGCACCTTCTCCCCCGGCCCCTTCTGCCTTGTCCTGTCTCCTGCCTTCTTTCCTTCCTCTCTCCCTCTTCTTTTTGTCTCCTTTCCCCTTCCCCCCACCTCCCAGCTTCGCTGAGCTTCTCATGAAGTTTTGGATTCCCAGCTCCAGTTGCAGCCAGGGTACACATCCCATTGCTTGTCATTATAAGTCACTGCTTGCAGAGGGACAGAGATTGCAGGGAACCCTAACTGAAAAATGAAAAGAAGAAAAAAGCATTAAACCCTAAGCAAAATTGAATCCCAGTGCTTTAAGAACTGGTTGCCTTCAAAGGCAACCCTATGGCCACAGCATAGAACAGAACCGAGATGGGCCCTCCAGGTCTTCCCCTGCCCACTCCCCGGAGGTGGGAGGTGGGCAGAGAGCAGTGAGCCACAGCTGCACCTGCGGAAGCTGCTGAGACAGGGCAGCTCCTCTGGGCTCTACGAGGTCGTGCAGACCAAGGGATGGTGCTATGGTTCATTGACGAGGTGCGCCTCACAGAGAAAAGGCTATAAGCTCACCACTGGGGACAGATGGCACGAGACTCTACTGCCCCTGCTCCCGCCACCTGATGTCCCAAGCAGACCTGACTGTGGACACAGCAGCTCCTGTCTCCGTGGAAGCTGGGGCAGGTCTGACCAGTCTCCTTCTCGCCTCTGTCCCAGGGGTAACAGCTGCACCTCGAGCACTTAGAAACTCCAGCTGTGGAGCTAGAAAGGCCTGAAGAGATCTTCTAACCAATCCCCTTCATTTTACAGATGAGCAAACTGAGGCCCTGAGAGGGCATGGGACTCGCCCAGGGTCACGTGGGGGAAACAGAACGGCGTCGATGGTGCTTAAAAGTGCTTAACACGGCAGCTCCCAGCTGTGTTTCTGGCCCTGAACCCAAGTGCAGTCCCAATGGGTATTTAATAATCCCCAGAACAGTGCCATTCCTCCCGCAGGCTGCTGGTCTAAAACTGGCCTTGTCTAATTGCCATGGTTTCGGGATTAATTGCTTGCCTCAGTCTATTCCAAAGGGAAAAGAAAAAGAAGGCTATTATGGCATCGAATAGACATAGTTTCTAGGCGAAAGGCTGCTGTGAATGGGTGTGGGCCTTTAAAACCCTGAGTACTCATGCTTTTCTTTGAGTACCCCTCGGTATCCCTTCTGTCTGTTTATTTCGGTACCCTTCACCTTACCCACCAGTTCCTGCAACAGACCTCTCTCGGATTCCAGCGTGGGCCAGGCACTGTAGTGTTCCCTGCTTCTCAGGCTTCCGTTTTTTTATCATCTTCTTGAAAATATTTATTTTTCTTTGCACGTAAAGATTCAGGCAGAATTCTGGGAGGCACCAGGAGACAAGGGTCTCTGCTCTAGTCGCTAAGCTTTTTTTGTGCATTTAGTCAGGCTGTTTACTTACCATGTATTAAGTGACAAGTCCTGAGCTAAGTACACAGTAGGTCCAGCGTGGGTGCGTGTCAGTTTAAATCGACCACCTCTAAAGGATGAAAGCCACATATCGTGGAAGAATTTGGCCTGAAAAACACCCCCAAGGGGCAGGGGCTCAAACCAGAGAGTTGTGATACGGGCCACTGTTTGCTGAGCACCTGCTGATGTGCCTCAGCCTGGTACTAAGTGATTTAAATGCATGATCTCGCTTCATTATCACAGCTGCTTTAAAGGTAGGTAGCATTTCTCCTGTTTTATGGTCAGCGTCCACAGCTGGCTCCCGGTGTGCCCACCACATCGGTGGCTTGGAGCATGACTGGCTTGTGCAGCAGCACCACCCCACCCCACCCCCCGCCCCGCCATACCTTACTTCCTGCACCTGCTGCCTCCCATCCTTGACGACTGCCGAGCCAGGTCTCCCGGCGGCCTCACGCGCCCTCTGCCTCTCTCTGTCTGACAGACTCCTGCAACTCCAGGTGATGCCTTTATCCCGTCTTCATCTCAGACACTTCCGGCGAGTGCAGACATGTTTAGTTCTGTACCTTTCGGCACTGCTGCTGTACCCTCAGGTAAGCTGTCCTCCACCTGCTTCCTTCCTTCGGCCTCCGCCCGTCAAGGAAGGGACAGGGTTGACTTGAACCAGCTGTCAAATTATGCCAGAATACCTGTGGAGCTAGCAGCCTCTCCTTGTGACTCTTCAGGTGACATTAAGAGGCCACCATTGGGAGGCAGGGAGTATTTACAAACCCGTGGTATGCTGTAGGCTGGATTTCAGTGATGCCTTTCACCTGGAAAAGTCAAGATGCTAGGTTACTCCGTACACAGCTTCCAGGAGCTCCGTGCACACCCAGCCATGCAAATCGGCACAAGTTCATTTCCTCCTGTCCATCTCAGCCAGAGGGAGGGAGGATGGCAGGTGGGGGTAGGAGCCCCCACAGACCTCTGGAGATCTGGTTGATAGGACATGTCTGCTCCTTCGGTAGAGACTCAAGAATGGGGAGGCTCTCCATGCAAAGTGGGATGCTGAGGGGCAGAGCAAATTGCTAACAGTGAATTTGGGAAGGTGATGGGGCTCTTAGTGATTTGGAAGGTTCTGCTTTCTAAGCATCCTTTAAGATATATATACACTACTTTTACAACAGGGTAAATATATATATTTACAGATGAGCAAACTGAGGCCCAGAGAGGGGATATATAGAATATATTATACACACACACACACACACACATATATTTAAATACATTTACCATGTATTAAGTGATAAGCCCTGAGCTAGGTGCACAGTAGGTCCGGCGTGGGTGTGTGTCAATTTAAATCAACCACCTCTAAAGGATGAAAGCCACATATCGTGGAAGAATTTGGCCTGAAAAACACCCCCAAGGGGCAGGGGCTCAAACCAGAGAGTTGTGATATTGGCCACTGTTTGCTGAGCACCTGCTAATGTGCCTCAGCCTGGTACTAAGTGATTTAAATGCATGATCTCGCTTCATTATCATAGCTGTTTTAAAGGTAGGTAGCATTTCTCCTGTTTTATGGAGAAAGGTGTGTGTGTGTGTGTGTATATATA